CAAACTCCTCAATATTCCGATCTTCAGTCTGTAGTTATGATGAGACTGAAAATTAAGGATTATTCCCGCACGAATTCTTTCTTTATAGTCTCCTCATGAGTGTCCCCTTGGAGTGTATGACTTTAATATTCAGAAAGGGTAGTCATTCATACTGCTCCACCTCCATTGTAAACTTAATTCTTTCATCACGCTGGTTAATGCAATTGAAGAATTCACTTAAAATTTCCTTACCATGTGACCAAAGGCCAAAGTAGTCATCCAAGTATCGCATGAGCACTTTTGGTTGCAGTGTTGACTTCTAGAATTCCCTTTCCAACTTGTCCATGCACACATTTGCCAAAAAAGAGGTGAGAGTGGAGATCCCATCTATAGTCAAAATATATGCTCGTAGATATTGCCGTTAAATGTAAAATATGTGGTCCTTTCTGTCAGGTTGATCAGTCGTGTTAACGATTCTTTCTGTATCCGATTTGCCTTCAGGATATCCTCTTCTCGCTCCAATATCTCCAGCAAGGCGCTTACCGCCTTCTCGCCTGGATGTTTGTGTACATAGATTGTACATCGAAACTCACCAACAGTTCTAACCCAATGTTCTGGATCCTTTAAGAAAATTCATATGAATTCTTGATGGTATTCGAGAGTCTGTCATTTACTTTCTTGAGCTCCAAGCAAATGAATTTCGCTAGTTTGTGTATTGCTCCATGCTTGTTGTTGACTATTAGTCTTAGCAAATTTCCTTGTGTATCTTCGGTAGTCAGTAGGCTGTCGGCTGCCTTGCGTCATTTTTGATTAAGGATTTCATCCTCCATCTGCCAATTTCCCCATTATTTTCCTTGAGCATATTCTTCAGTGTCCCGTTGATCTTTGTGGTTGGATCCTTCCTTAATATTTGATAAGTGTTCTGGTCGCCAAGGGTACTTTCCATTTTCTCCGTGTATTGTTTCCTGTCCATTACAACCGTCGCCCCCTCTTATCCGCCTGGAGAACTATTTGATCATACTCTTGTAATTTTTTTCGTATACCGGCCAATCTGCTCCCGTGTATCGTTTCTTGATGTGTCAGGATTCCTTGGATTATTTCCAGTTCCATCTCCTGCCTTGTATCTTATGGATATTTATCCGTTATGTTGACAACTTCCACCATAATATCACTAAGAAGGTTTCCTTCATTACCTAGTGAAAAATGTTACCTCTTCTCTAAGAGATGCGTTGTTTCAGAATCCAGAGGGATTGAAGATAGGTTTACTACCTTAGTCCTATCATCGTCTGTAGCAGTTGATGCCTTCAATAAAGAACCATTAAAATTTGCCTGTGTTGGCTTGGTCTTGCGCTGTCTTATTATCCCATAGCTAAGCAATTCCTTGTCATGCCGCTTATTTATCAGATCCCGAACTCTCTGTGATTTCTGGTTCTTCATGCTTGGTTGTTAAAAATCATCCAAAGTGAGAACCATACCTAAATCCTTTCTTAATATAGACTTGAGATCTATGAACTTAAATAGCCTACACATCTCAGTCTAGTAACATTCCTCTAATTTCTGGATAGAGGCGTGATAAGGTATTTCATTAACTGTCCGAATGACACTTCCTCATTAGATTGCGATACCATAATGTTTGCAACAATTTAAAAAAAGGCAAAGGGCAGGATTGACTTACATTTGTCTTCTTTATCCGGCTGTAATTAGTGCATTGTTTGACAATCTTACTTCCATATTTAAATCAATGGTATGAAGTTCAAGTTGGTGTGGCCTTTTGGGTGGTCGCAGTCTCCTTTCGCTGTATAGAGGTTGTTTGACCCTGTTTTGGCAACTTGGTCATATTAGTAGGAAGACTTAGAGGAACGCACCTTGTCCGGAGTCCATTATATGCATAATCATTTCCAAAGTCGGACCGTGGACGTAGTACATTCCCAGACGTTTTGCCGGCATCGTCAGTGAGTCTTGCCATTCGTAACACCATATTACAATTCGTCAGAGACAAGTGAAGCCGATTCCATGACCAAACTTGTGCTAAACAGTTATGGTATCTGCCCTTCTGCCCTGGCCTATCAAGCCTTCACTGACACAATTTTTTAAGTGCTTAATTAAATGTGTTATTGTGTGCCCTTTTTAGCGGCTCTCATGGCAACCCTCCGCACTCCACACTGGCCTTCTCACTGCCCTTTATCCTTATGCTGGGAATGTTCATCAGAGGTCTGCCATATTGTTACGCCGTCCTCCTTCCCTAGGTCTTACCACAGTCTCTCTCTTGCCCCGTAAGATCAGTCTGCCTTCTCCCTAGTTCACATATTTCAATCGACTCCTGCCACCTCATCTGCGCCACTAGAGGCGTTATTCGCCATCTCCTGCGTCTGGGTGACTAATTTGAGGCTAAAGCTTCTGAGTAAGTCTCATGGGTGAGAATGCCAGCATGGAGTGCGGAGGTTTCTCATGAAAGCCGCTCAAACGGACACACTCCACCACATTTAATTAAGCAAGTAAAAAATG